GAACTCGTAAAGTGCATATTTTATTCTCGACTGTAACGGATGCCAATGCGTTTTTAAAGAAACGTTGGTAGTGAGATATGAAGAGAAGGTGGGTTTCGAAGAAGCCCTTAATAGATTGATACTGGCGTACCTTTCATTTCGTTTGAAGAGGCAGGTAGAAGGGATTCGTAGATTGGTTCCACCGGATATCACAGGAGGGTTGCTTTGGACTTTTGTCTGTTGAATTGTGAGAAGAAGACATCGGCTCACCATCTTACGACCCGATGATTCCGGTTGAGCTTTCGTCAGTCCTGTGATGGGCATCGTCCGAGCCAGAAACCATTATTCACGAAAAATCACCAAAAAACAGCAAACAGAAGTACGAATAGAGACCAAACTTTCCGAAACTCATCAGTTTACATAAAGACCAAGAAACTAATGGCCAGGCAAGTTAATCATTTCAGATTTTTGAAAGTATGCTCTTCGCGTAGTATTATCCTTAAGTTTTGTATTCTAGATAGACCTAATTTGCCAAATAGAACTTAGAGAAATCATAGAAAAATATTTAAGGATTTGGTTAAGGAAACACTTCTTCAAAACATTATAAGCTTACATATTTTGATCCGAACAAAAACCAGACTAAGGCGAGTTTTGTCTGATACTCTTAACTCTGAGGGTTTCCTGAAGCTTCAATCAATGGCTGACAAATTATATGATGTAATATTTTGTCAGGTAAGGAAGAGTCACGATAGGAAACTTAAGAAACCGTTATTTAGAATTAGATATTTGCACAACAATGGGAATTCAACCAGAGGAGAAGATAAAATGAAGCTAAGTCGGAAATTGCTTGACCTGTCCAAAACACTATTGGAAAGTACTACTGAGGAAGTTCCATCTAGAGGTCTTAATTATGCTTTGTCAAATAGTAAGAGCTTCACTGATAAGATTTTAGTAGTCGTTATTAACTTTACTGATAGATTAGCAGCAGAAACTAGAAGTGAGATTGAACTACAGGTTGTCCCTCTAATTGATAACCATGTAGAAGCGCAAAATAAGAATAGATGTGTTAATAATATCACAAAAAAGTTTAGACAACACGAGCAAATATTTTTGAGTGCAGACAAAGGAGGAGCAGTGGTAGTAATGGATAGGACCAGTTATATAGAAAATATGATGCTGACTTTAACTGATGTTGTTACGTATATAATTATTACTAAGGATCCCACAGAAACACTAAACGCGAGACTTAAGAGTTGCCTACAATAGTGCGTTAATAGTGGAGAATTGGAGAAATGGAAAATGAATGCACTTCTCCAACGTGACGCTAGACATCCTAATGCATATGGTCTGCCCAAAATCCATAAAGAGAGGGTCCTACTTAGGATTATTGTAAATAATAAGAGTGGTGTGATGCATAAAACATCACGAATCCTTTCTGGCCAAATAAAGTTGATCTCAGGTTTTTAGAAATTTGAAATAAAGAATTCTTCTTACTTTATTAAGTTAATAAACGAGCAAACAATAGAACAAGAAGATTTGATAGTAATTTCTGATGTTTTAGCGATGATCACGAATTTAACTATAAGTGGGGCCATACAGGCATTAGGATTAATCCTAGATCTACATCCAGAGATAATATCAGCATTCAATCATGTGATTGACGAATTTAATGATGAATAGTGCATATTTTATCTAGAATAGTAAATTATACGAAAGAAACAGGAAGGTCAGCTATGGGTTCGAGTCTGTCTCCAATATTAGCTAATAGCTACATCGCCCAATTAGAAGTCCGGCTGTTTCAAGAGTCACTCCTAGTTCCGAAACTATTGGTCAGATATATGGAAGACTATTGCGCTATCTGGCAGCATGACAGAGAGTGTTCGAATGATTTCATTGGATTAATTGAGCCATGTAGTTATTATGTAAAACTGGAGACAAACCCGATACCATAGTAAAAATTCATGTTTGTTCGCATAATTTACAATTAGAGATATAATATGTACTATTTATTATTAAGTTCGTCAATAGCATGATTGATTCCTTGCTCATCCTATTTCCTGATATTGTCTCTAGGTGTAGATCCAAGGTTAATCCTAATGCCTGTATGACCCCATTTATCGGTACATTATTGTTCATCGATAAAGCATCAAAACTTATTAGCAAATATTCTTTTTGTATTGAAAGTAGATAAGGCGACAAAATTCATTATTGAGTTAGAAAAGACAATAAGTTACCATTTTTAGATGTCCTAGTTAGTAAAACAGGGAGCAAACTGGGTAGGGATGTAAATAGAAAACACACAAATGCTGATTCCTTTCTTAATTTCTTCTCGAACCATACTTATTTTGTTAAGGTAGGCAAAATGAAATCAATGATAATAAGGAGTTTAGCCTAGCAGATGTAAATAATCAAGAACAGCAGTTAAATACTGATAGTCTCGAAATACTACTCTAATAAAAAATCATAGTTGAGAACAATTGTCATGTAGGATAAATTGCAAACGATTTCAAAATGTCAAGAAATAGGTTGAAGAAAAACCATTATTTTTGATAAAAATAAAACTAACCCTAAACATAAGTCCAAACCAAACGCTAAACCTAACCCTAACCGTAACCATAAATCGTACAGATAACCCTAACACTAACACTAACATAAACCATATACTAACCCTAACGGAAACCCTAAGATTAACCTTGACACTAACTTTAACCCTAAGACTTATCCTAACCATGAACTTAATCCTAACCCTAACCAAAATCCTAACACTAACCTTAAACCTAACCCTAACCCTAACCCTAACCCTAACCCTAACCCTAACCCTAACCCTAAC